TGTTAAATCAACAGAGAAGAAGCTGTCACTTGAAGACATTTCTTTCGAACATGTTTTGAGAATTATTTTCTTTAGCCAAGGGTCTTTCAAAAACAATCCCTCTATCCACAAAGATAGAGTTAAGGTCTACATACACCCCACTACTTGTGGAACTTTAATTTACTGAATATATTATTGTTATTGTTATATTATATTCCTAGGGAAACATACATGTTTGTTAGTAATTTTCTACTAAAAAGGGAGAAACAACTTTTCTCACTGTTGTTTTCATACTACTTTAATTAATACTTAGACATGATTATGAATAAACTTTATATTTTATTTTTTCTAAAAAATTACTTTTCACTCACCGGGTTAAACATCATAGAACATTTTCTAAACAAATATTTTTGGAGAACAATATTTTTTTAGAAAATCATTTAGGATGAAATATGACTTTCATTGTACCAAACACGCCCCATTGGTTTTAACCAATGCATATGCCGGCAAAGATGTAGTGCATATATATTACTTTCGTATTGATCGTCCAATTTTTGGCAGTCTTGCTTATATCTTGATTCTTGACTTACACTTTGTTTGGATGGTTCTTATAAATTATTTTATAATATATTATTATATTATATGATGGTGTGTTGTATTGTATTGTATTGTATTTTATCTTTTTGATGAATACAATGTTTAATATAATACATCATTTTTCGGTCCCTACATGTTGTCACACATCGGTAATTTGAAGGACAAACTATACAAAAAGTAGGATGCATGATAAATCTTTTATAAAAAATGTAGGGTAAATAAAAAAACATAATTACTAGATAGTATTTGTTATATTATGAAGTTATGATGATTTAATAAACTATGAGATCTGGTAGAGGTACCTGATCCCATGAGCGACAGACATACAAGACAGACAACATGGAACAACAATAAAACCGCCACAACTGTGGTGATTGGTGAGCACGGGAAAAGAGGTGCATAGTTCTCAGCCAATGGAGTTACCCTAGGCTATGTTTGTCCATCTTATATTGATCACTTTGATAAGAAATAACCTAGTTTTTTGCAAACATGATTTTTGAAATGCAAAAGTCTTCTCTCTCAACATTTATCTTCTGAGCAAGGAGGTTTCCACGTAAACATCCTTGTCCTTTACTTTAAGCATTACTTTCGGTAATGTTCTTAACTTTGTCAAGGAACCTAGTCCATTGACCTATGGTGGACACATATAAGCTAACAACATTTAATACCCTAACTACCATTACCACAACCAGTAGCGTACGCTGAATTTTTCTAAGTTGTGTCACCATTTAAAGGACAAAAATGGCTCAAGAGAAAAATCAATGAAGCTTTTGCTACAGGCCTCCAAAAATTTCATCGATATTTCTTTTTTGACTAATTAGCTCGTTCTTCCAAATCAGTTTAAACTTGAGTTGTTAAAATTGATTTGTTACGTTTGGATTTTTTTTTAAAATAATACCGCTCCATTAAATTTAGATTAATATTATGTAATATGCACAATTAGGATTGCGGACAATTGTAATCAATTTAATGAATCCTAAATTATCTATCTATATATTATCTATCTATCTATATATAATAGGAGAAGAAAAAGTGCCACATGTCAGCACCATAAAAAAAGAATTTGTGAATTATTAAAATTAATTTAAAATATAAAAATCTAAAAATAAAAATAAAATTGCAAATCACTAAAAAAACTGTCAGAATTTTTGAAAACAGATTTAATTTGTTTTAAAATATAATTTATAAATTAGTAAAAAACTGATTTTTTTTAATACACCACTGATTCAATATTTAAAAAAAAACATATTTATAAACTTTTTTAAAAATTAAAACGACAATTCCATATGTCCTCAATATATAACTTTTAAATTTACTTTTTTAAAACCATTTAATGTAGGAAATATTCAAAAAAAAATTTAAAAAAAATATTATAAACTTTGCCATATTTCTTTATTAATATTTTAAAACACAATAAGAATTTAAATGTAGTTTCAAAACTTCCTATTGCATTCCAACTTATATACAAACTCTAAAAATTAATCAATAAGATATTTTTTAAAATCTGAAATCTATCTATATATAATCGGAGAAGAAAAAGTGTCACGTGTGTCAGCACCACAAAAAAAGAATTTGTGAATTATTAAAATTAATTAAAAATCTAAAAATCTAAAAATAAAAATAAAAATTGCAATCACTAAAAAAACTGTCAGAATTTTTGAAAACAGATTTAATTTTTTTAAAAATAAATTTATAAGTTAGTAAAAAACTGAATTTTTTAATATACCACTAATTCAATATTTAAAGAAAAAAACATATTTATAAACTTTTTTAAAAATTAAAACGACAATTCCATATGTCCTCAATATATAACTTTTAAATTTTTTTTTTAAAATCATGTAATGTAGGAAATATTCAATATTAAAAAAAAAAAACAAATTTATAAACTTTGCCATATTTCTTTATTAATAATTTAAAACACAATAAGAATTTAAATGCAGTTTCAAAACTTCCTATTACATTCCAACTTATATACAAACTCTAAAAATTAATCAACAAAATATTAATAAGATATTTTTGAAAATCTGAAAATAAAAATAAAAATAAAAATTTCAATTTTGATTGTCAATTTAATTTTGCCAGTTTCTTTTGAAAACTAAATAAAATTGTAAACATAATAGAACACGCATTTACATTTAAGCAGTAGCAAACCCTATTCATTTGATTTGAAACAATTTTAAAAAGCTTTTTTTATAGATACATTATTTAATTTGTTTTCAAATCATGAAAAGAAAAAAACATTTTTGCGATTTTCTTTTTATGCTTATTTTTAAACATAGTATCAAAAAATTTCACACACAGTTTTCAAATGTAAAATAAAATAAAAATAAATTGAGAAGGATGTTATAAATATAAATAAATTATAAAAATTAATGTAGTTAATTTTAAATTTGAATTGAAACCGTTTGTGATTCTTATTTAATTGGACGTAGCAAAACAAATAAAAAGTAAAGCACACGATGCATACATGTCTAATTTTGAATTCAAATTTAAACTTGCAGTAGTTATCAGATTATAAATTATTTTGAATTGATTTCTTAGTTGAAAAGAAAATCTTTATCCCTAAGGCCTAAACAAAGAAACAAAAAAAATAATCTATATCCCTAACGCCTAAACAAAGAAACGGAGACAAAATTAGTTAGGGAAAAAAAAAACTGCCTAAAATAACTGTCATGTTGCGACAAAACAAAAAATATTGATTTTATCCCTTACAAACTGCCACTTTATTCAGGTTAAATTTAGTTTGTGTGCGCACATTCAACAACAATATCATCAAAATTTCTCTGTATGTATTTTCAAAAGATTCAAATTTGTTATTTCTGTTTAAAATTGTCATCGAATTTGCTTTCTAATTCATATGTTTTTGTTTATGTTGCCATATGCAACAACGACATGATTCTTAAAAATCAGTACAAATGTTGTCCCACAATATATGTAGAAGTTTCGTATGGTGAGTATCCTATTTATTATTGTTATTATTATTGTAGTTATTTATTTCTATTGATTCCTCAATTAAAATTCTGGATGAAGATGTTTTAGTAGATCTTTTTTTTATATTATTATAATGGGCTAAAGAATAAGAAAATCAAGTGGCGCATCAATGGTATTTCAAAAACTTATCTATTGTAGCAACAAATTGATATGATATTTAAATTTAAATTTAAACGAAATTTGAATTGATATGAAGATCCATTCCTTCAGCAATATATACATCGTTGCAACCAAAATAACAAAATGCATAAAAAATTGTTTCTTTTTCAGTTTTTTAAACGTTAGTAACCAATTAAATAATTGCTAATGTTGAAAATAAAAATAAGGAAAAAATAGCATAAAAAAATTGAAGGATAAGACTTGTTTGAAGTTGAATTGATCCAGATTCACATACAAAATTTAAAATTATGTATTCTTAAAATGGAGATAAGATGAATATTTTTTTTGTTGTTCAAAAAATACCAAATTATTTCTCATTTGAGAAGACAGATGAGATTTTGTTGAGGATTTAAGAGATAAACATATTTCAATCCTAATAGATTCAACTATACAAATATTTAAATGGACTAAATAAGTTATTGCAATTATTATGTGCTTAACTTTACTCTTAGATCATTCAATTTTGATTTATTACATGATGCTTTATTTGAGTCGAATGTTACAAGCTTATACATAAATTGAATTGAAGTAACAATTTTTGAATTTGATATGCATGTTATTGTTGCTTCTTGGATCAAAGCGTTACGTTGTGCACTCATTCTAAACACATTAGTGAGGACCTATTAACCATTTGTTTATTTGAGAAGAATTTATCTGATTATAGTTGCTTGATATATACAAAAAAAAAAAAAAAAAAAAAAGTTTGTTAAACATCGATAATTATTTTTTTAGCATTTATCATATAGCGGACTGTTTTCTCACTTTGTTACTACGTAATTGCTATAAAAGATTTTCTATCTAAAATATATGACACAATTGCTACAAAACTCATAAAGTTTTTTTGGTACAAACTAAAAGGAAACTATGATAAAAATTAGTTTCAAAAATTATATTTGGTGAGTGCATTTAAAATTTATTTTCTTTAAATTTAATAATAATTTTGTAATTGAATATATTGTATAGAAAAATAAGATGATAATTAGATACTTTTGAACTCTATATGTGTTTTCCCCCAAGTTGTATAATGGTTGTTGAAGATGCTTTAATTTAAAAAAATTAACCTTTTGTTTAGTGGAAAATTTCGAAAAGCTTTAATACATCTTTGTCCTTTATCCAATCGTAATTCTTTGTTCAGAAACCACATGGTCATGATAAGTGGACCCTTTCACCACATTATTTGTTCTTACTTTTATGTCTATTCCTTCTTATCTCTATCACCCATTTTCCAATATTCAGCCTCCTCTTTTTTTCAATCAAAACTAGTATTCCTGAAGATGGCTGATGCCTTTGTGTCATTTGCAGTTCAAAAATTGGGTGATTTCCTCATTCAACAAGTTTCCCTGCGTAAAAATCTGAGAAAGGAAATTGAGTGGCTGAAAAATGAGCTACTCTTCATACAGTCTTTCCTCAGAGATGCAGAACTAAAGCAAAGTAGAGATCAAAGAGTTCAACAATGGGTGTTTGAAATCAACTCTATTGCTAATGATGTTGTTGCTATACTCGAGACTTATAGCTTTCAGGCTGGTAAAAGTGCTAGTCGTCTCAAGGCTTGCGCTTGCATATGTAGGAAGGAGAAGAAATTCTACAATGTTGCCGAGGAGATTCAATCACTCAAGCAACGAATCATGGATATCTCTCGCAAACGAGAGACTTATGGTATTACAAATATCAATAGTA